TAAATTGTAAGATACATAACATACAATTTACCATTTTAACCATTTTAAAATGGAACATTCAAGGGTATTAAGTAACTTTTTCTTTTTAACCAACCCTAATGTGCAGAGCAACTGCAGGAATAGTACAAAGAACTCCCTAGAACCGCCACCTAGATTCACCACATTGTGCTCCATTTACTTTATTTGCTCTCTCTTGTTATTTACACACTTGTTTCTAAAGAGTAATTTGAGACATCGCATCCCTTTTTCCTAAATACTTACCTATTCACAACATTGTAAATCAACTATAATGCAATTAGAAAAAAAACAAAAACCTTCCCTTCTTCAAAATAAAAAGAAAAAATCTTACATACTATGTGTGTGCTATGTAAGCACAGCGATATTCTCTGCACAACTAGCAAATTTAGGAATTTAATATTGATACGACACCATTTTCTGATATACCTTTTACATTCAATCATCGCTGATTGTCCATTGAGACCCTTTTACAGCACATACTTCCCCCGTAGCAGGATCACACATCGCATTGAGATGTGACCTCCAGCCCCTCTTCCAGAGGCTTCACCTCAGTCCTCTGAGGCTAAGGGAGGCAGGTGAGGAAGTTCACTCCCCGTGGAGATGGATGCTGTTCACACCTGTGCATTTGTACACTGAACTCTGTCACCACCCAAGCCAGGGCACTGGATGCCAGCTCCCTGGGTCCCCGTGTTGAGAGGGGAGTGACCTCTCAACAAGGTCCTCAAACAAGACCTTCCAGGTCTGTTTTACAAGCATTTGCATTGAAAAGAGTTTTTTATTTGCCTTCCCCAATCCACACCGGTTGAAGGGACAGCTAGCCCAGGCAGGTGGGAAGGGAAGAAGCAGGGTCAGCTGGGGCTTGGGGCTGCGTTCAGTTCAGTATTGGGGGCTCCTGAAGGGGTGAGTCTGGACGTTGGGACCTACCCCAAGGGTAATAGAGTACCACAGCACCTCAAGCACTGTGGGGATGTGGTAGGTGTGTCCTGGACTCGTGTGTGTGTGTGTGTGTATGTGTGTGTGTGTGTGTGTGTGTGTGTGTACACGGGTGTGTTCGTTCCAAGGCCGCTCAGGAGACAGACTTCCATTCTGTGGTCTTTGGGGTCTAATGCATTTTCAGAGATAAAATCAAAGGTGGGGTGGGCAGTATTACCTCCAGCCCACAAAGTCCGTCCATGTTCCTCATTTACACATAATTACAGGGTGATCCAGAAGGTGCTTCTAGGATTCCAGGCAGCTTGCTTTGATTGTTCACAATATTTTCACCTTTGTGGGGAGAAGATTTAGAACCACAGATTCCTGGGTTAGGAGCATTATCTCGTTTGGTCATCATAATGGCCCCACAAAGCAGGAAGCATCTTCACTTTATACAAGAAGAAAATGAGTCTCAGATTTGTAGAAAAGGGAAGTTGGGAGGCCTAGGTTTACATTCTGTCTCTTAAGAGATTTGAGATAACATAATGCTGGCACATAGTAGGTGCATAAATGATAGATTAACATCATGTTTGCTATGGCTCATCCAAGGTCACTCCACTGGCAACATCACACATGCACAGGCAAAATCCAGAGCATGACTGGAATCTGAAAACTCTTGATGATAAGTCCCTAGGTCTGTCTATTTTCCAATTATGTGCAAAAGAGTAATGAGAGCTCAACCCTGGCTTTTAAAGGCCTGGCCTCCATCTCATCAAAATCAGAGTATACATACTCCATGAGGGTTATTAGACAATCAGTCACGGATATACCGAAAAGAGTCGGACAGGACTTAGCGCCTGAACAACTAGACACTCTTGTGTACTGCAGTATGTACCGTATCTCAGAATGCAGGGTTGAGAGATGTTGAGAACATGTATATGGCCATGTGACTCAAACAGAGGCAGAAAAAAAGTAGATGATGAAGCAAGGCCATTCCAGTTCTTCAGATTTCTTTTAAGAACAAAATGAGTTGTTTGCTGCCCTCATATAACCAGAGAGTAATTCTGAGACTGCCCTTGGCACCCCGAGGTATTGTGGATGTTTATGAAACATCTGCCTTGAATCCCCCTTCTTATATATTAAACCATTAAGTCTAGAGAGTTGGCGCCATCAGCCCATCAGTGAGTAACAGCTTGGCTTACTATGTGTCCATGTTTGTGGGATTCATATAAGACATGTCCCTGGGCTCCAAGGAGCAACCAGATCTCATTGGAGGAACTGGGGGAGTATCTAGAGAGCGAACAGGAGTCCTCCCTTGTGGGACTTGGCTGTGGGTTGCTCTGAACAGCAGTCAGTCAGCATGGCCTGGTGCAGACAAGGGATGGCTCTGTAGGAATAACAAGAGCTAACGTTTATTGGGTTTTCACTGCATGCCAGGAGCTAAGTGCTTCTTGTGTATTGCACCACTTAATCCTCACAACTTCCCTAGAATAGGTGCATTCTATTTTTTCTTTTGTGACCATGCTGTGTGGCATGTGAGAACCTAACTCCCCAACCAGAGATGGAACCTGTGCCCACTGCCATTGGGAGTGTGGAGTCTTAACCACTGGACTGCCAGGGAAGTCCCAGTAAATTCTATCTTTAAATCAGTTTCATAGTCAAGGAAACTGAGGCATAGAGAACTTAAGTCACTGGCTGAGTCATATAGCCAGTAGGAGGCAGAGCTAGAATTCAAATTCAAGCAGTCTGACTCCAGAACTTTCCTATTCCCTCTACCATCTTTTGAGAGGGGCTCTGTGAATCCTTTTAGGATTAGAGACTTGGACTTTAGTGAAGCAAAATTCTCAGGGGTGGGAGCTCCACAGACCTGGGCTTAGCACCACTGGTCATGAGACTGTAAACAACTTATCAAACTTCTAAACCTCCACATTCTCTGGCTCATGGGAACAACTTCTTCATCACAGGGTAGTGTGATGGTGAGCATGTGTTTAGAGCACAGAGCAAGGGGTGTTACTGTTAGAAATGGAGGGTGGGAAGAGGGGCACAGCCTGACCAACACCCGGTATCAGGGATGAACATGAACCAGAGGGGTATGTTGGAAGGATCCTAGAGAGGGAGCTGGTTCAGTTAGATTGTCAAATTGGCTGTAACAGGTGAGTGGAAATAAACACTATCCTGAAGGATACTGCCAGGGTGTTGAGGACCTTGAAAGCTAACATAAAATGCCCCACTGCTCCTCCAAAGGACAGGTGTGTGGCCATTGTTGACATATGGAAATGTGTGTTTGGGGGGGGCGGGAAATAGAATGCAAAATAGTATGTACAGACCAACAGCTGTGTAAACGCATTATGGTCTGCAAGCCTAGAGATCAGAAAGGCATCTGCAGTGCTGTCAATACTCCAGGTCACCGCTCTTTTCTTATTTACTTTTCTGTAACTACCTAATGCAAACTAAGAGTGAACAGGAAGCCAGGCCAAGGGGGGTTGGCTTTTGATCTTGTGGACATCCCTGGGGAGTTAGGCACAGTTTTTTTTTTTTGGATCTGTTTCAATTGAGATATAATTTATATACAGTTGATTCTCATTATTTGCAGATTCGGTATCTGTAATTTGCCTATTCACTAAAATTTATTTGTAACCCCCAAATCGACTCAAGACACTTTGGCACGAGTGGAGCAGTGAAAAGTTTTTCACCTGATGCACAGGGAACCAGCTGAGGTCGAACAAGACATTTTGCTTCCTTGTTTCAGCCCTTGTACTGTAAATAAGCATCCTTTTCTGTTTAGTGCCATGCTTTTCATATTTCTTTCCTTTTGTTGGTGATTTTGCTATTTAAAAATGGCCCTCAAGGACTTACCTGGCAGTCCAATGGCTAAGACACTGTGTTTCCAATGCAGAGAGGTATGGGTTTGATCCTTGGTTGGGCAACTAAGATCCCACATGTTGCATGGAATGGCTAGAAAACTTTTTTTTTATTTTAAAAATTAAATAAAATGCCCCCTAAGCACAGGGCTGATGTGCTGTCTAACATCCCTACGTGCAAGGAAGCTACGAGGTGCCTTACAGAGAAAATACGTGTGTTAGGTAAGCTTCGAAGGCACGAGTTATGGTGCTGCTGGCCATGAGTTCAATGTCAATGCGTTAACAACAGACATTAAATAAGGTGTCTTTAAAGAGAAACCTGCATAAAGACAAAGTTGTATATTGATCATCTGATGAAAGTGACTTGACCAAGATTTACAGGATCCTAACCCTGTATGGATGGAGAAGGAAATGGCAACCCACTCCAATATTCTTGCCTGGAGAATCCCACAGACAAAGGAGCCTGGTGGGCTACAGTCCATGGGCTTGTAAAGAGTCAGATGACTGAGTGACTCACACACACACACACACACAACCCTATATGGATGTGAGAGTTGGACTGTGAAGAAAGCTGAGCGCCAAAGAATTGATGCTTTTGAACTGTGGTGTTGGAGAAGACTCTTGAGAGTCCCTTGGACTACAAGGAGATCCAACCAGTCCATCCTAAAGGAGATCAGTTCTGAGTGTTCATTGGAAAGACTGATGTTGAAGCTGAAACTCCAGTACTTTGGCCACCTGATGCGAAGAGCTGATTCATTTGAAAAGACCCTGATGCTGGGAAAGATTGAGGGCAGGAAGAGAAGGGGACAACAGAGGATGAGATGGTTGGATGGCATCACCGACTCGATGGACATGGGTTTGGGTGGGCTCAGGGAGTTGGAGATGGACAGGGAGGCCTGGCGTGCTGTGGGTCACGGGGTCTCAAAGAGTTGGACACGACTGAGCGACTGAACTGAACTGAACCCTGTATTTCCCTCAGGGCATGGATCCAGTTTTTACTAATTCAGTGTTTACAGCAATTTCATAGACCCTAACTACTGCGAATAACAAGACTTGACTATATCATAAAATTCACCCTTTTAACTAAGCCCATATTTCAGTATACTCACTGGTTATCCCTGTGAATTTTCCAGCAGTTATAACGGCCTCACGGAGCAGCAAGTTAAGAACTGTCTTTCCCTGTCCCCTTATGGTTCTGCTGTCTTTCAGGATGCCCAGGAGAACCATGGACTGGCTGTACCAACCCCCTGTGTGCCAGACAACTTTGCAGACAAACAAATGACAGGTAAGAGGACCCCAGGCTTGAGGCTTGTCCATCTTTCTCTTTTTCCTCCTTAAGCCCAAGCATCTGGACCTCCCTCCCCAGCTGGTGATGAAGCTGGAGTCCCCAGGCCTCTTGGCTGCTATCTGCTGTGGGTGGGAGATGAGGAGAGCCAGAGCTAAGGCCCAGGGGAGGAAAGATGGTGAGGGCTGGGGCCAGAGCAGGAACAAAGGCAGCGTGAGTGATAGAAAGAACCCTGGAGTCAGGCAGCCCTGGCCTTGAATCCCAGCTCCCCTGCATATTAGCCTCGTTCCCTGGGGCAAGTCACTTAACCCCTTGCCCCTCCGTATCTCCGGGCAAGACAATTCCAGTTTTGAAGGCACAAACAAAGTACTGGATAGGATGTGAGTCACTTCTTGTCATATCGCTTGCTCAAAACCCGCCAGTGACTTCCCTTGTCACCTAACAGAAGGGTTCTTGCCAGGACGGCCAGAATCCGGCCCCACCTGGCCTAATCTCCTGCTGGCTTTCTCGTCTCATCCCACTCTCCTTGCTGCTCCTTCAGTATCCAGGCTCGTTTCCACCCCTGGGCCTTTGCACTCCCTGCGGTCCAGTCTGTTCTTCCCTTGCATGTGTGCACAGCTCTCTCTCCCTCTCTCATTCCATCTTTCCTCCAATGTCACCTTCTCAGCCAGGTCTTCCCAGACCTCCCTATTCACATTGCACCCCCAGCACCCCTCCTGGGTTTTCCCCCATATCACTCATCACCTCGATGTGCTGGAAATTTACTGATGTGTTCATTGTCTATCTCATTGTCTCGTTGAATCACAAGCTGCAAGAGGGCCAGTATTTTGACTATGTTTTGGTTTGTCTTTTACTGCTGTGTCGCAGCTCCTAACACTTGGGTGCTCACTGGATGTGGTCTTTATTTTGAAGTCAGGAAACTGGGAGGAGCCCTTCAGAGCTGCACATTCCTGGGTTTGTTTCATTCTGTGCCAGAAATTGAGAGGTGGGGGAGGCAAAGGATGTGTGCCCCTCAGAGAGGAGTAACGGGCATCCTGGTGGCCTGCAGACACTAGGGAGGGGGCAGGGACTGGGGCCAGAGGGTAGGGATTTGAGCCTGGGGCCAGGGTGGGAGACTCAGTATCTCTCTAGTGCCTGAGTCATCCAAGTCAATTCATTCCCACTCCATCCATCTGGCAGTCCAGAGTCTGTTCCAGTTCTCTGCGAGGTTCTCTGGATTCTTGGTAGATTCAGGATCTTTAGAAAGCAGGAGTTGCTCATGCAGATTTCTTCCTCCCAAACCTTCACCCAAACTTCCTCACCGAGGTGTCCAGGCCCCTACCCCCATCCATGACTTCCTGTGTCTCCCAGCTTCCCTGTCTTACGCAGAATGGAAAGTTAAGCACAGGCGGTAGTAGTCAAAGTGATTACCATTCTCTGGACCTAGCACCTGATAAGCTCTTTCCATTCTTTTATATAAATTCTCTTAATCCTCAAACAGATTTATGAGGCAATTGCTGACGTTATTCCCATTTTACAGATAATGAAACTGAGGCTCAGCAAGTTTAACCAGTGTGTCCAAGGTCACACATTTAGTAAGCAGAAGAGCCTGGATTTGAACCCTGGTGTTTCTGGCTTTGTACCAGCTGAGGCACCTGTAAGAAACACCCGGTGCACTCCAAGGGGCTAACCAAAGCGAGTTTAGTAAAGGGATGATATATAAGACTGTGAGCAGGGCAGAAGCGTGGAGCCTGAGCCTCGGAAGCCAATGGAGAAAATTCAGCACAGGCTCCAGAGGCTGTGCCAGGGGCACAGGGGTCCCTCCCTGGAAAGAAGAGGGTCCCTCTCAGGAGAGGTCAGGAGACTGGAGACATGGCTGCTCCTCGCTTGGTGTTCGCGAAACCAGCCAGCTGCTCTCTCAGGAGGTCAGCAAGCCCGCGCTGCCTGCTCACCCTCCTCATCTCTGCCTCTCCCTCCTTCCAGGCACCAGCACGCTCGTCAATGGCAACCTCCGACTATACAGCTCTGTGGGGGATCTGAGGCCTGGACAGTATGGCCAGGACTTACTCATCCCCCCACCTCCCCCAGGCCCGGCGCCGGCGCCGCCCCTAGGCACCCTGCAGCCTGCAGAGGAACTCTCACCGCCACCTCCACCCTCCACAGCTCCCCCACCTCCTCCCCTGCTGGTATCACTGCACCCACCCCCACCCAGCACGGCCCCAGCTCTGCCCCCAGGAATGGGGGCCCTTTCCCCCGCCCCCACCGTTTCTTCCCCATCCACACCCACGCCTCCTGACTTCATTCCACCCGCCCCACCCCAGGCCGTTCAAGCCCCACCTCCACCCCTCATGCCAACCCCGACACCCCCAGCCCCAGGGTCTCCCCAGACCGCGGGGACCCGCCTCTTCCCCGCTGGAGGTGTCACCAAGTGGAAATCGGAAGTAACGCTGAATGGTAGGCAGCCTGACGCCCCCAGAAGCAGCCCCCCCAGGAGCCCTGCTGAGCCCAAGGGGGGCCTCCCGGGTCCTGAGTCCCACCTCACCTTCCCCCGGTCATTCAAAGTGCCTCCCCCAACCCCAGTCAGGACTTCGTCCATCTCCATTCCAGAGGTACAAGGGGCTCCTCCTGAGGACGAAGAGCCCACCAAGAAGGGCCCCAGTCGACCCTCACTGCCTCCCAGCTTCCAGATCCGCTCCGTGTGCCAGGCCTACCCAGACAGGGCTGCTGAGCTAGCGCATCCCAAGGAGCCCGGCTCTGTGGCACCGGCTGGCCCGAGGCCGGGCCAGCCTCAGGTCCAGAGCAGTGAACAAGCCGAGACGCCACCTCCAGCCCCTCCCCTGCCCCCTCCTGCACCCCCGCTCCCTCCGCCAGCACCCCCGCTGCCCCCAGCCGCCCCTCCTCTGCCATCTGCCGAGAAGGCAGCCCCTCCACCTGCTGGGTTGATGAAAAGACCCAAGGCCAGCTCTCCTGCTCCCAAACCCAAACCTGACCCCCCGAGCCTGGAGGAGACAGCCTCTTCGGAGCCCATGGACTGGCGGGATCCCAGCCAGATGGCAAAGCTGCGGGATGAGCTGTCAGCCTATCTTTGCGGCTCCAGGAGAGAGGACCGGTTCGCCAGTCACAGACCAGGTCCAGCGGCAGCCTCTCAGGGAAGGGAGGACCACAAGCGTCCCAGCCTGCCAGCAAAAGAGGCGCCCCCGAGTCTGCTACAGAAGGAGGTGCCCCCAAGCCTGCCAGAGGAGGAGGCCCCCTCAAGCATTCCTGAGAAGAGTCCCTGCAGCCGACCAAAGAAGGCTGCCACCAGCCTGACCCTTCCTCCTGTGGATTACCTTCCCCAAGACGTGCCAACTCCTAGCGTCTGGGAGATCCGGAAGAAGCTGGAGGCCCAGCTTTCCTCATCAGCTGAGAAGGAGGCCAGGCCCAGCAGAGGCTCTCTGCCTCCCAAACCTCAGCCAGAAGGGGGAAGAATCTTTGAAAACAGAGTTGATAACGGCAAATTCTCCAAGCCTGTGGCCAAGAATCTGCCACCTCTATCCACCACCCCTCTGCCAAACACACCACTCCAGTCCAAGGTCACATCCGGACCAGCCACCCCACCCAAGGCCACGCCTGGACCAGCCACCCCACCCAAGGCCACACCTGGGCCAGCCACACCACCCAAGGCCACGCCCGGACCAGCCACACCACCCAAGGCCACGCCTGGACCAGCCTCACCACCCAAGGCCACACCTGGACCAATCACACCACCCACGGCCACACCTCTACCCATCACATCTTCCCAACTGATAGCAGAAAAGAACCTGGTCGCAGCTGGGCAGTGGGAGAAGCCAGAACATGAAGAACTTGCAGTGCCCTCCAAGCCAGAGGTAGAGGGGCACTCCTCAGAGGCCAGTAAGCCTCCTACACAGGGAGCCCACTCATCTCCAGCCTTCCCCCCAAAGATATCACCTGGGCGAGAAGAGGCGCCTTGTTTCTACAAGTCCCATCGCAGCCAGAACAGCCCCAGCAGAGAGGTGGCTGTGGTGACGCCCACCCTGTCCAGAGGAGAGGCTGCAGGGTCAGGCAAGCCTGTGGAGGGGAAGGAGTCCCAGGAGCTGCCACCCAAGCCCCCAGCCTCACCCCAGGCTGCTGACGAGCTCCTCAGGCACCCGGTGACGGGGGAGGTGGTGGAGCGGGGCTCCCCGATGGCCCTGCTCCTTGCAGCCAAGCAGAGGGCCCAGAAGGGGAGGCCCAGGGGGGCTGCCCTGGGCCGGTCCTCCCTACCAGGGAGTGTCCGAGGCCCCAGCCAGCCCGAGGCAGGCTCTGATACCATCTTGTACAACGAGGGCCAGCCCAACTCCTTCACTGTGGTCCCCAAGGTGTCCAAGGAGACTGGGAATGTCCCCCAGCTAACCTCGCCAGGACAGCCCAAAGGACTCCGTCAGTGGGAACCCCAGCCCCGCAGGGACCCAGAGGGCACGGAGTCGGGCCGCGGGCCCAGCTGGACAAAGGTGGAGCCCCGGGCCTCGGCGGCCTGGGAGAGACCAGAGCCCTCCAGCCTCCAGGGCCGCCTGCTGCCCAAGTCTTTCTCTTCCCCACCTTCTCCTTCCCACAAACCGGAGGAAGACAAGGAGGAGGAGTTCAACTTTGAGGTCATCCCGCCACCGCCAGAATTCAGCAATGACCCCGAGCCCCCGACAGCCCCCTTGCAGTATCTGGGGCGCCGGGGTTCCCCTCCCCGGAACAATTTCTCAGACTTGGGGCAGCCCGCCAACGCCGGCCCACCTCGCAGCTTCTCTCACTTCTCCGCCGATCCAGGTCCGGCCCGGGGCCTGGAGCGCTTCTCGGGCGGGGGCGGGGGTCGCTCGCTCATCAAGAAGCGCCTTTACGTCGGGGAGCCTCACCGCAACCCCGGGCCGCCCCGCGGCGGCACCGGCCGCAGCCTGAGCTCCCCCAACTGCTTCGGGCCGCAGCCCGGGGGCCTCTTTGCAGCGCCCAGCGGCCCCGAGATGCGGCGCGTCAACTCAGCGGGCCGCGGGCCCCCCGGCGGCCTGCACTCGCGGAAGATGTCCCTGGAGGGCGCCCCTCGCGGAGAGACCAAGTACAAAGCTCTCGGCGGCGGCGGCGACTACGGCTGCGCCCCGGCTACCGGCAGGTGAGCGGTGGGCCAGGGTGGCCAGGGTGATAGTGGGCTGAGAAAGCAGGGGAGAGGGGGGCTGGGCTGGGAAGGCAGGGGAGATGGGGGCTGGGCTGGGAAGGCAGGGGAGACAGAGGCTCACCCCCAGACCACCCGGAGCTGGCCAGGCTGTGGCCATCCCCCCAGATATTTGCTTTTCTCCATCCTGGCTCTCAGGGCAGAGAGAACGGGCAGGGAGGCGCGCTTCCCTAACACCCACTCTCCTTTGTCTTCTCTCCTGTCTCCCCCTTCCTAGAGTCCCCGTGTGGGGTGGGGGAGAGCTGAGTGGTCCTTGAGTGCTGAGATTTCCCATCACCGAGATGCATCCAGAGCCAGGCTAGGAGAGAAGGGTTCTGAGAAGGAGGGTATTGCGCATGTACTCTGGCAACAGGGCCTGGACAGGAGGGAACCCTGTGGCTGATGAGTTAATACTGGGTCCCACTGGGGAGGATAAGCCCTGGGCTTGAGGGGCAGCTCCATCCTTCCTCTGATGGCCCTGGGGAGATTCTCGGGGTGATGGTTAACCAGCTGCAGATACTAACCTCATCTCTTCTCCTGCTCCCCACCAGGTCTCCCCACAACAACACGCACTACGGAAGCTCCATCAACACATTCACTGTGAGGCCTGGGACCCGCCATCCCATCTCCTATGCCTACTCAGGGGCCCATTGGAAGGCCCCGTCCTGAGCTCAGGGTTTTCTCAGCTGTCCTTCAAGGGGTCGGATCTGGGCGCTTGTTTTGGTGGGGTTGGGAGGGATGCAACTGGTGTTAGGTAGCCTCACTCAGACACAGAAGAGTCTTTGTTTCCCAAAGACAGACAGACGGACAACGAGTGAAGCAGTGCCCCCAGGAAGATCAGGATTGGACTTCTGTTTCCCAAAGCCTTGATGTGGCTGTGGGCCGTCTGCAGAGGAGGGTAGGAGGGAGAAGGAAGGAGAAGAGAAGGAACCTTTAAGGACCCGGAGCCTGAGTTTTCACTGTCTGGGACTATTTGCCTTAGCAGGGTTTACTGAAAGCAGTTTTCCAAGCAGCCCTGCTGAGCAGGTTCTAAAAGCAAGGGCAGGGGCATTGGCTCTGAATGGGAACCCAATGGGGAACCCATCAGAATGGCTGTGGTTACCGGTCAGGTTCTCATGAGGGGCTGGGGACCAGCCCTGTCTGGGTGGGGGTGCAGGGTGCTACAGGTTGATCTCAGCTTCCACCCGCCCACCAGTTGCCAATCCAGAGGTGATACCTAGAGTTGCTAGTATGAAAGCCACATTGAGGTGGGACCAGGAACATGCAGGCACAAGTTGGGGAGGTACCTGAACAAAGTGCTTTGCATTGACCATGAGTGGGGATGGGGGAATTGGAGGTTCATTCCTCCCTGGCCTTGAGCTACAGAAGGGCCTAGAGAGGGAAGACTTGGCAAGTTTGGGATGGAAGACACAGGGTGGAGGCTTGCTTTACTACTCAGACCCAGGCAGCCATGATTTGGGGGGTTGGGGCCAAGGAGCTAGAAAGCCTGGGGCTTGACACCAAAGGCCTTGAGTGATGGTCAGGTCCTGTATGGGATTTGGAGGGGCATCATCCCAACCACCCCTCCCAACCCCAGTACTACAGGTCCCCAATATTATCGAGGCCTTGGGATGTGTAACCAAGATGCCAGAAGGCCTTGGAGAGTAGAAAGGGACAGAGATGGGAATAGAGGTCTAAGAAGAGTTTGCTGCGAGTAGGGACTGTGATTTGGAAAGTCAAGAGTGCAGGACCAGGCCTGTTCAGAGCAGGGAAACCTGATCAGTAGGGTGACCATTTGTTCTTTGGTGGGAAGTCTGGGTTTAGGCCTGCTTTCCAGTGAATTAGAACCCCTTCCACTTTCAAAAAACAGTCCTGGTGTAGATGATGTCTAGCCATCAGACATATCAGGGAACAGTATTCCTTGGTCCATCTTGTCTTCAGGTCTTGGTGGGTTGAACTCCTGGGGCCAGGCCAAGGCAGGCTACCTGGGTGAGGGAATAGGGCAGGGTGCCCGCCTCAGAGGAGCAGGCTGGTGGGGGCACCCAGGAAGCATTTCCCTTTGGGGGCATGATGTTGGACCTCTGTGATGTGTGCTAACCACTCACAGTACCGGGGTGGGGGGAGCAGAGGACCACTTCAGGGAAAGAGTGCTGGGGTGGGCAGGTGCTCTGATGGGGCAGGATCTGGTTATCTGTGTCTAAAAAGCCAACCGCACCCCAGTGCCAGCACTGGCTCTATATATATGTATGTATTTCCCCCTGTACAATGTTTTATACAAGATTTCACTAATTTATCTGCTGTGTTAAGGCTTGAGGGGTGGGATGTGGACTCCTAGCTGTATCTTGCTCTGGGGTTGGCAGGGAAGGACTGATTCTCTCTTGGCTTGGAAATAAACAGGCCAGTCTGGATGGCCTCCAGTCCTGTGGCTGCGGATTGATGACTGGAACGTACTGGGCTGTGATGAGAGGTTGGGGAAGTGAACTCAGCTGGGGAAGGCCGAGCACAGGGTGGTGGCTGAACTGGAGCCATTATGCTGGGTCTAACTCTCTCTTCTGACCCTTAGGTTTTCTCATTCTCCAAGTCCTTTCAAGGGGAGGGAGTAGAGCTGAAGTCTCGTGATAACAGACTGTGCCCCAAAGCAAATCTCTGAGTCTCTGAACCTCAGTTTCTTCCGTACAATGGATATGATAACCTACCTCATGAGGCTGTTGTGACGACTAAAGACAGTCATTTAACAGGGATCTGAGTGGCCACAAGATAGCAGGCACTGTGCTTAGCACCAATACACAGCCATCAACATTCACACGCCTCCTACCCATGGCAAGACTGTAGTCTCGTGGAGGAGAGAGAATGGAAGGAATGCATAGAAACAGCCTCGATTGTAAAGAATGGTAGGGAGGGGAAAAAACAGGGACTATGAGAATAACTGGAGGGTGGGGGAGAGGAGTGGATTGACTTTCACTGCCTGGTCAGGGGGAGGCCTCTTGAAAGGGTGCCGTTTATGTGATCCCAGTCAAGCATCCAACATATATCTGGTACTCAGTAATTGCTCAATAAACTGCATCTTGTGTGTGGCCCTGCATGGTTTTCCGTAAAGCATCTTTAACTTTCCCAGAAGAGGAAACTGAGAACCAGAGGTCATCTCAGGACAGTGTGAGAGAGTGCTTGGGGTGTTTCCTGTGGCTGAGTCTTTTGTGGGGGGGGTTCTGGGAAAGGGAGGCTGGGAAGGTGACTCACTTGTCCGGCAACTTAGAAGGGCCTCCCCTCTCGCATCCTGGGGCTCCCTGGTTCTCTTGCCTCTCACTGTCCCCACCCTGAACTGTGAGCAAGGATGGGGCCCTGCCTCTGGCTGCTCTGCGGGAGGGGAGGATCAAGGGATCACCTTGAGTCATCTCTAACTCATCTTGAAAGTGACCGGGATGGATGCATGCTGTGTGGGTTTGTTTTTTTTGGGGGGGGCGGGGAATCTTTTGACCCTGCTGCATGGCATATGGGATCTTAGTTCCCCGACCAGGGATTGAACCTGAGTCCCCTGCACTGGCAATGCAGAGTCTTAACCGCTGGGCCACCCTGTGTGTGGGTCTTAAACTTTGTTAGTCCCAGACTTCTTTAAATAGCTGTTGAGAGCTATGCATCCTCACCCCAGAAAGATGCCCCCACATGCATTTTTACAGGTTATTTCAGGCACTCCACAGATCCCCCCAGACTGGGCTCCATGGACTTCACGGTGAGAACTCCTGATGAAGTCGTGGTCATGGTAACCACCAATGGTGTACTTAATTTTGACAGTTTGGAAAATTCATTCCTTTGCTCGTTTACTCCCGACAGTTGTCTAAGGTGTGCTGGCCTCGTAATATACCTACTTCCATGTTGAGAAATTAGGGCTTCCGTGAGAAAGAGCTCCAAGAAGAAGAGTGAATTGTTCAGAATAGCCCACCTGCCTCCAGCCTCTGCTCCTCCCTGCTGCCTGCCTCCCGCCATCCCCATGTCTCATCCCTCCCCCAAACTGTGTACCTGTGGGAGCAGGGATGGGGAGGGCCTGAGGAGGGAAAAGCTAATAGGCAGAGTTAATGGGTGTAGGTGGCACAGGTGCTCCTGGATCGGGGTGGTCGCACCTTGATTTCTGGAGCCTCCTCACTGCTTCCTGGATGTGGCCCAAGTCCCGGTACCCAGAACCACCATCCCCATCTCCCTTTGAGGTCTGGCCCAAAGCAGCAGCGGGTCAGGTGCTGGGGCCTGCAGTGATGTCTGAAGGGCCCTCTTCTCCCAAAGGAGAAAGCACGGCTTTCTCCAGGGTGGGGTTTTCTGGAAGCAGAGAGGCCTCCTCCCACCCCTGTGGGAGGCTGCAGGAGAGAGAGGTGCCTTCCACTGAGGGAGGCGCTCCCTCCGGGCCTGCCCCGCCTGCTCGCCCCCACCGGCCGCCCCCCTGCGGCCACTTTCATCTCCGCAGCTCGAGGGCAGTGCGGGTTTCCCACCGTGAGTCAGTCAGCCGCCGGCAACGGGCGGCCCCTGAGTCCAGGCAGAGGAGCTGGGCCGCCTCCTCCCCAAGGCGCAGGGCCGGCCGGCCGCCGCGGGCCCGCTGCTGGGGCCTCTGGGGGCACTTTTGGCCAAGAAGGTGAGAGAAGGAAGGTGCGCTTCTGGGAGGGGGCGGAGACCCAGGTGGCGCCTTGCGGATGTGCCGTCTTTACCTGGACGGTCCTGTGCTCTGGCCCAGCTCTCAGAGTTCTAGAACCATTGTCAACACTTGGCACAGGGGAGCCCCTCCCCGCTCCCGTCCTTGAGAACTGCCCTCGGAATGCCTACAGATGGTTTCTCTGAGATCTCCTGTCCTTCAGGAGACCTGTCTCCTTCCTTCCTCCACCAGCCAGTCTTCCTTCTCCATAGCGTCCTTGTCAGGAGACTCAGTGGCATCCCTGTCCGGCCTGCCCCCGAGGTCCCCATTTCTAACTTGAAAGTGCTCTGCTCCCGGCCATTTCCCTGTGGATCCTGCCGGCCACTCAGATTCGGCCTCTCCTCTCCTCTTCCTTCCTTCTCACACAATCGTGAGGCCGGAGCAGCCAGACCAATGGCCTCACTATCCGCCCCCTCGGCTTCCTCAAGGCTGACTTGCTCTTCAAGGCCCAGCCAGCCCCGAGTTGCTCAGAGAGCCCTCGTTCCTCCACACCGCGGCACCCACTTCCCTTGGCTGGCTCATCCTTCGGGCCCCCCAAACATCCCTCACGCCCTCCAAACATCCCTCACGCCCTCGGCCACCTCAGCTCCTGTTAAAGCTCCCCAGTTCCCCTCACACATCTCCCTCCCCAGCAGCCTGTTTTCTCCACAAGGATGCCTGTCTTATTCATCACAGTATCCCCAGCATCTCGGGCTGCTCCTGGGTGCACCAGGTACTAATATGCGTTTGTTGAATGGCTACCTGTTAGTATGTAATCAGATGCTATCATGCACTATAAGTTCCTTGGGGGCAAAGGCATTGTCTCCTATGGACTCATGATCACACAACCCTCTGGTGTTTTTTTTTTTTTTTTTGGCTGCACTGGGTCTTCGCTGCAGCATGCAGGATCTCCGTTGTATCACTGGGGCTCTTTCGTTACAGCACATGGACTCTCTAGTTGCGACACCTGGGCTTAGTTGCTCCACGACATGTGGGATCTTCCCGGACCAGCGATTGAACCCACCTCCCTTGCATTGCAAGGCGGATTCTCAACCACTGGACCACCAGGGAAATCCCAACCCTCTTATTTCTAGATGTCTGTGACCTGATCTAATGCTGAGGTTCCTGCAGGATGTAAAGTAATGGTTTTAGGGACAGACCTCGTAGGTTTCATCATAAAGGTGTCGAGATGCCTTGAAGAGGCTCCTGCCTGGTGTGTGAGACCTGATGCTCTCTAAGTGGAGGCAGAAGGAGCTCGGTACTACCAGGTGTGGTCCACCTGGTTCTCAGAGGGCTAGGTCATCCTCAGATGATCCTCGTATCAGGTNGAGGGCTAGGTCATCCTCAGATGATCCTTGTATCAGGTCAGAGCTGCTGCCCCCTGGAGCTGCCAGCACCAAGCAGCCCAACGACCTGCACTGCACGTTCACTCCCCTGCGGACCTCCCATCCTCAGCGCCGTGATGGGTCTCCAGCCTGCCCCTGTGCCACCAGGGTCACCGGGAATGCTTCTGTCAAACGTGGGCCGGACAGTGAGAAGCAGCAGCACCTCTGGGGGCCAGAGTCGCAGAAGCCAGTCAGGATCAGCCTGTTCACTGCCCCCCCCCCCGCCCCTCTACAGAGCCCTCCCTCAGGGGGGAGCCTGACAGCTCAAGGGGTTTGGGTTTGTTTTTGCTTTTTTTTCTGCCCCTTGTTAAACAGCGAGCTCCCTGCACAAGGTCCTCAGCCTTAGGAGGGACCCACACACAGAATGTGGACCCAGCGACACTGCCGTCTTCCCTTCTCCCACCGCAGTGTGCCGCTGAGGCGGGATGTCGCTGGAAGCCCGTCTGTGGGGCACTCCCTTCTCATCCCTGAAAACTGTATTTCTTCAATCTGTCTTCCCCAGACTGAGCCTCCGGTCTCCTTTAAGACTTCCTCCCGGAGAAGTCTGTCTCTTGACTTCTTGTCACTGTCATTTGTGTTCTGAGCCACTCAAAGAGGGTTTGGTGGGTGCCTGCTTCCTCTCTTTCTCTCTCTTACCCTATCTGTGAGCTTCCTGCCTTTTGGTTCAAAACTTTCCAGCATTTGTTCCAAATGCCCAAGGCAGCACAAACCTGAGGCAGTTCCCTCCCACAGTGCTAGAGGGCTGCACAGTACAAGGCAAGGAGCCAGCAGGAATTCCCTGGTGGTCCTGTGGTTAGGACTCCATGCTTTCACTGCCAAGGGCCTGGGTACAATCCCTGGGTAGGGAACTGAGATCCACAAGTCACCCAGTACAGCCAGAAAACAAACAAACAAAGGCAAGGAGTCAGGCAAGAGTCTCACAGTCGAGTGCAGGACACACATACATACACACACACAAATAACTAGGATATAAAGCAAGACATTCCACAGCTCTCCCACCCAGGGGAGCCGGGTAGCCAAATAGAGCAGGTGGCCACACAGGTCACACTGCTGGCCTGGCACCACGGGTGGTCCCCCTTGCTGGCCTGTGACCAGGTCATCAAGGCCGCCCTCAGCCCTGTGACCCCAGTGGGAGTTCATGCATGAGAGGGCAGAGGAAGGAGGGCAGGCATCTCTTTACCTGCTTCCTCTACAGATTCTGACACTCAAACCCTTGGGAAAGGGTACCTGTTATTGCTGATGCAAACATACACACTGCTGTCGTCTTCGATGACCTCTCCTGGCCATTTAAGGCTGCCCTTGACATTCACTTTAACCTGATTTCTCCAGGGAGAGTGGAGGGGAGCGGAGAGAGGAAGTTTGTGTCATAGTACTGCTGTCCTTGCCCCAGAGGTCTAGGCTGAGTCCCTGTGTGTGAACATCATTTTACATGTGAGGTTGGCTGTGCATGTAACCAGCAGGTGGTGCTCTGCTCACAGGTACCTGACCTCAAGCCCAGAAAATGACGTTCCTGATGAGGTTGACAGGGGTCCCCTTAGAATCCAGGCACAGAGCTAAGTGCTGCCCCATCTGCCAGTATTTCCCAAACTCGAGCTGCATTAGATATATTGGAGGATTTGTGAAAACACAGATCCCTGGGTCTCATACCCAGCACTCCTGATTCAGTGAGTTTGCTGTGGGTCCTGAGAATTCACATTTCTAGTCATGTATGGATGTGAGAGGTGGACCATAAACAAGGCTGAGTGCCAAAGAATTGATGTTTTTGAACTGTGGTGCAGGAGAAGACTCTTGAGAGTCCCTTGGACAGCAAAGAGATCAAACCGGTCAATCTTAAAGGAGATCAACCCTGAATATTCTTTAGAAGGACTGATGCTGAAGCTCCAATACTTTGGCCACCTGATACAAAGAGTCAACTCATTGGAAAAACCCTGATGCTGGTATTGAGGGCAGGAGTAGAAGAGGATGACAGAGGATGAGGTGGTTAGATGGTATCACCGACTCAACAGACATGAGTTTGAGCAAGCTCCAGGAGATAGTGAAGGACAG